GCCTGTGCCCCATCCTGCCCTGGCTGGGCAGCCCCAGCCCTACTTCCTCCCTTACCACAGTGGGCCTTGATCTGCCCTCCCATACCCCTTCCCTCCCCATCCACCACAACAGACTTAACAGCTGCATGCAGCTCTTCAAGCTGCCAGGCTGTGCTCCTTGCCACCTTCATGCTGCGCTGTGGCTGCGTGTATGCACGGGCCATTTATCGGCCGCATTATTGGCCACATCAGGCTGATTTCTGATGCAGCCAATTTTCTTTATATCTGTGCTGATCCCATATCGGACCGATGTATCAGTGTACCTTTAGTTTTAACTGCTCTGAATGTTTGTGTTTTTAGCTTGTCTTTCAGGATTCTATATGATGAACAAGACTTACATAAAATGAACAATACTTATCCAGATTATGTTAAAAATTTGCTGTATCATGTCTGTAGTTTGTCTGTCTATATAGAAGACTAGCCAATTGTCCGTCAAGAATGACAGGGGGAGGGGGCTGGGATGGAGTGCCACCACCTAAAGTCTCATGCTGCTGCTGTTCTGCCTCTTGCAGAAACCGGGGTGGGGGAGCTGAGGCCAGCAGCACTGTCCGGTCCTGGGCACAGCTTTGGAATTTGTCCAGTCCTCGGCGCGGCTTTGAATCATAGCAGCGCTCCCCCACTCTTGGAGCACTTTGATTGGCTGTTTCTGTCAGCCAGTTGGAGTGTGAGTAAAGCATGACAGACGGACAGACTTAGGCTTTTATAACATTAGAAGAATACTACTGGAAGCTTCTTTGGAATGGTGGAAAAAATATTCGTCCCTGTTTATTTTCTCTATTGCTTATGATTTTTTTTCCCATCCTACTAGAGGTCCTGCTGCAGTGTACCTGTGCTATACTTATTCAAGAACTTAGAAACTGATGCTGGAAATTAGACCTAGGTTTTGTGCATTTCAGTTCATGTAATTTCCACTAGTTCAATGTGAATTGTTGTTGGGTTTTTTTGTTTTTGTTTTTTAAATCAGCACCTTCTGAATTAGCTAAGACTTCCACTATTTGTTTAGTGTATGTGTAAATTCTTATAGTCATTTAAATACATTAGGTACTGAAGATGGGACTGCTTACTTCAGGTTGTAAATCACATGCAGATCACAAGGAAATAGAAAACCAGAACGGGCTTTTAGGACCTTGAGCTGTCAGTTCTCCTGTGGCAGTCTGAACTGCCTGGGGTAAACAGCTAACACTTTTCTCCTCTTCTTGTCTGCAGAATGGTGGTGATTAATACTGGTATACAATCTTTGTTTTAACTTAACAGGAATTGACTACAGAACAGAAAGACGGTGCTTTCTCCAATTTTTATATCTCTAAAGAGACTATTGAACTCCTTCGAGGTAATTTTTCTTGTGTTCACGCAGTATAACTGGCAGTAAAGAAGTATCTTTCGTTCTTTTTCAGTTTGAGGAAAGTGTAATAAGCAGTGGGACCGAATGTGTCCCTACTGCTGTGTGTAGGTGGACAATGACATTAAGTTTACTACAGTAGCAAACGGAGAGCCTATATCAAGCATACTTTATTACAGTGGGGAAGAGGGAGGAGGGCAACTTTTTGGCAAGCATGCCATAAATTAGGCCTGTACCCTCCCTGAGTGCAACCCGATTCTATTCCCTGCCTGGGCTGCTGCTCAGCTGTCTGCTTCCTGCTATATCTGCTGCTCTGCTGTCTGTGCCCTCCTTGATCTGCTGCATGCTAGAGGCTGCCTGTGCCACTTGTGACATGCATTTCACAGGTTGACCACCTCGTCTTATTAAATTGATATGTTTATATAGTTCTCATCAGTCTGTTCTTTATGTTAGATTCCAAATGACAAAATATCAAGGTACATAGGTTTAAAACCTAATTATTTTGGTAGTGGGATAAAATTCCACTGTAGTTGGACTAAAAATTGTAACTCTAATACTAACAAACTAATAACAAAATATGTGTAATATCTTTATATAACAACATTTTATAACAAATGATTCATAAACTAAAAAACAAAGGAGGTAGCTTTCAGATGCTACTTAGAGCAAGCAATCTACTCAAGGATGAAAGAATGGATGGAGAGTAAAGTGTAAATTGGATGACAGAATTAAGTTTCCATTTTTTGGTGAGGGAGAGCTGTTGGGTGGGGAAGTAGGAAACAATATTTCTGAGGATGCAACAACAGAAAATAGTTTGAAGTACAGGCAGTCCTCGATTTATGACTTTTTGAGTTGCGACGAACGTTGCTTATGACGTTTATAAAGTGACACTCCGTTTTAACATTCCGACATGGGTTTAGTCTTTATGACATACTGTGTGCAGCTGGTAAATGGTGGAAGGGCTGTGGGGGTGTAGATCAACGCCTCCCATGGTGAGGGAGGGGCTGGGACAGGTGCTGCCCAGCCAGGGCTGGGTGGGTGCGGGGGGCAGGAGGGGTGCGGTGGCTCCTGCCACTGTGCGCTGGTCATCTGGCAGCTCAACTGGCAGTCTGCTGTCCCTGCCACTGTTCCGGCAGGGCATGGGGAAATGTGTGCCCCTGGATCTGCACAGAGTGGGGCTGGCGGGGCCAGGGCTGCACTCCAGGAGGATGGCGGGGGCTACGGTGCATTTTCAGGTGGCTGCAGCCCTCGCCATGTTTGATGCCTGCCTTGCCCTGTTCCAGGGCACATGCCCTCCCACTGCTCACCCAGCCAGGGCAGGATGGGCACGGAGCGGAGCTGTTGTGTTGCCTCCGGATAAGCAGCTTGCAGTGGCAGGAGCCGCCCCTCCTCCCTGCGCCCCCTGGGAGAGCTGCAGCTTTGACAGCATGCAGGGGGCATATGCCCCTAGATTGGAACAGGAGCAATGGTGGGGGTGGGGGTGCTGCAGCCACCTGAAAATTTGCCATAGCCTCTGCCGCCTGCCCAGAGTGCAGCCTGGTGCAGCCCTGGCCCCGCCTGCCCCACCCCAGGCAGGTCTGGGGCCACACACCCCCCCCCCCACGTGCCCTCCTGGGCCAGCAATGGAAACTGCTGGTCGAGCTGCCAGATGAGCAGTGCACAGTGGTGGGAGCCATCACACCCCCACTTGCCTGAGCCTGCCTGGCCTTGGCTGGGCAGCCGTTGCTCTAGCCCTTCCCTCACTGTGGGGAGTATTGCTCTGCCCCCCACTCCACCACTTACCAGCTGCATGCAGTATTGACCAACCATGGTAATGGAACCAGTCCCCCATTTGTAACACTGTTCCTATGGGAAAATTGTTCCTGAGTTGCAACGTTTCGACTTAACACAAACTTTTCAGGAACCAATTGTGTCGTAAGTCTCAGGACTGCCTGTAAATTAAGAGCAGTTTTGGAACTGGATTTTAAGATTAAGTAAAGTGGTGAAGACAGTGATGTGTTGCTGTTTGTGTTTTTGTGTTGTTTCCTGGAGCTGGCATGTGATGTTCTGTTGAAGTTCGTGTAGTTGTACTCATGAACTCATTGCAACTTTTTTCCCCCCTCAGCTCGAGGTGTATCATACCTGTTTCCTGTGCAAGTAAAGACCTTCTATCCTATATATGACGGCAAAGATGTTATAGCTCAAGCATGGACTGGAACTGGAAAAACATTCTCTTTTGCTATTCCTTTGATTGAAAAGCTTCAAGGAGACACCCAGGAGAGAAGAAGAGGCCGGAGTCCAAAGGTAACAGCACGTTACATGAGAGTTACCATATTCTGAGATCATGCTTACTATGTTTCTTTGTCACGTTGATTCCAGTTTTCTTCAAGCCTGTGTCAGTGTGGATCCTGCTGCAGGTGCAAAATGCATTTGAGACTGGAGCCTTTTGAACAGCAGTGTTTGGGGCTGCAAATGTACACTGTGGCTCCTTGCGTTCCACGTGAATGCCAAAAGGGCAGGGCAGCTGCATTGTTTTCACAGTTGAAACTGGAGGTATCCAACCTGCTTCTACTTAGTGTTTGCCACCTGTAGTTTGGAACCCATACATGTGTCCCTGTGCAGGGCCATTAAGTCCCTTTTCCCTGATGGTTGATTTGAAATCCTTGGGCTACAAACCCTGTTCATCTTATCTTCTGATTCTTTTGACAGACTGCCAGAGCAGGTAACTTTTGTACAAACCATGTAGACATGTATCAGACTGGCATATAGTTGGCTGCTTCTCTTTATGAATTTGATTGTGGGATCCTTTTATTAGCCTCTGCTTGTTAGAGCAGTCCAAGGTCACTTTGGACCTTGAAGAAACTTGCTTGCGAACCAGCTGGTACAGAAGAAATTTGTGCCTTTGCAGCAGGGACATGACAATAAAAACCAATGGCAGCGACTTATAAGTGTTGAGAAAAGAGCCTTGACACCAAGTTCAGAACCAGTAAAGGATGTCTGAACAGAGAAGCACAAGCTCCAGGTACAGCTTAGTATCCACAGAGGGAGGCTGAAGCAGTCCTTTTGGAATAAGCCCATTAAGGCCCATTCAGAAACAAGTAGTAGTCAAGTGGAACCAGCTGTAGTCTTGGTAATAATAGCTCAAAATGTACTGGTATCAGTTTCACTAGTGTCATCAACTGTACAAGTACCAGTGTCAAAGTGTATCAGTCATTCATGGTATTGGTGGACATCCCACTGGAAGAAACTGCACTTAACCTAGGAATAGCATAAGCATGTGGGGACAAACTAGAAAGGTTTACACACACAATAATTTGCAACTAAAATGAGAGAGAAGGCAGCAAGCAAAGGTTCTTTTAAATGTATTTAAAGCAAGGGAAAGACTAAGACCCCCCTGTATGTGTACAGGTAAAAAGACCTGATGGGATCTAATTCATTATTCGCACTAATTGCACTTCATGCCATGCTACGCGTGCATGGCAGGAGGTGCAATTATGTGCATCATGCATTAGATTCCACTGTGCATTATTACCAGTGCAGGGGGAGCCTGATCCCAGGCTTTTTCTGCACCGGCAAGAAGCAAGCTTCCACAGATGGGAGCCCCCTCAGTTGAAGGGCTCCCAGTCACAGAGGTGTCCCATGCACCCCTGGGACTGAGGGATCGTGGCTGTTGCAATTCTCCAGGCCTAGGGGTTTCATGCATCCCCAGGGCATCCATGCCCCCAGGGGTTGGGACCCAACTGGGATCTGGCATCCAGTGTCTGCTTCTGTGAGATGCTGGGACCCAGAGTCAGCAGCTGCTGGGGCTGAGAATCCCTTTAGTTGCAGGACTCGCAGCCCCAGCTGGGCATGGCCTCTGAGGCTGGGATCCCTTTCAGCTGACGGGGCTCCTGCAGGAGAGACCCTGCTACACATACAGATTTTAACGCTTGATAGCAACCAGCTATAAAGTTAAGTACACATTTTAAAGGTCTAACTGTATAGCTGGTTGGAGCTTTTATGGCGTGATAGCTACTTTGCATATGTAGCTGGTCTTAAGGTAATTGCTTAATTAAATGGGTAATTGTGCAATACTTGTAATGTGTAGAGGGGGCCTAAAGTAAGTATAGGTCTGCTAGCTACTGGAGAGGTGAAAAAAAACAACAGATATTATAGGGAAAGCTGAAAAAGGGCCTTGCTTCAGTCTGTGCAACAGTTCAGTTTTTACTCAATGCTTAACAATATTAAGAAAAGGATGAAGGAAAAATTCTTCCCTTTATCAACTTTTAGGTCTACCTGTGTTCAAATTCGTGGGGTGTATAACATTTACCCTAGAGTACTAATGGTACTAGCTGAAGCCACCTCTGAACAGCCACCTCTAACAGTTATTTTCGAGAAATGGTGGCGGGTCAGTGAGAGGGAAACTTAACCTAACATTGGTTACGGGTAGTGGGCCAGAAGAAGATCATGCAGCCTAACTTTGATACTACAATGTTACTAGAACAGATTATTAAATCAGTTTGTAGGTTTCTTAAGGGTAATGAAGTGATGAGCAGCTGCCAGTATTCATTTGTCAAGAACAGATGTCAAACTAATTTTCTTCTTCAACATAACTACCTAGCTTACTGGATGGGGGAAAGCAGTAGGTATCTTGACTTCAGGAAGGCTTTTGATGCGGTTCCACATGACATTGTTATAGTGAAACAAAGAAAATATTGTCTAAATGAAATTACTCCAAGGTGGGTATACAACTGGTCAGAAAACATCTTTCAGGCTGTCTTGCCTGTTTATGGCTATATCGAGCCTTTAGGGGCCATTTTGTTACAGGGCTTTCCTAAAACCCTGATCTTTTGGTAGTGGTTCCAAATATCCAAGCTTACTGTACAAAATACAAGCAGTGTTTCCTACGTCTGAAGAAATATTAAGGTATTTGAAAATTTGTGAAGTGCCAGTATGGAAGAACTTGCTGAATTCAGTGCCTTTAAGCATTATGCCCTTGATCTAACAGCTAAGTCAGATATCAGGTTAGGAATGCAGCTATGGATTTGCTTAAATTACGTATGTTTAAAATGCTTCAGATCCACCATCCAATTGGGACACTTCTTGCCCATCACCTATGGTGGGATCCTCATTGACACAATGGTTACTTGCTTTATGGGAACTCTGGTTCTTCAGGATGTCAGGGTGGGTCATACAATCCACTCTTCATTCCTGTTTTTGGAGGGTGCAGGATTTTTTGCAAGGGACTGAGGGACTGTTAGAGCAACTCTACTTTGTATGTCCTGATACAGAGCGTGAGGCAGCATTATAGGTATATGAATAGTCCCAGTAGACACTGGTATTCAGAGACTCCAGTCCTGCACTCATGTGCTCATCTGGAGTGGAATCCATTTGGATAACATCTTGAAGAGCCACAGTTTGAAATGGGTAAGTGAATGTTATTTATCACATTTGAAATGGGTTGTGCTGTCACTTCCCTCAAAGGTAGCAATGTTTTAGCTGAACAAGAAGTGACTTCATTATGATTTGGTGAAGGCACAAGAATCTTGAATGTTTCTGTGGTTTTGTGTTTAAATACCACTTGGTTCAAACCTGTAACACTATTATAAGAGAAATGTAAATATATAGACCTAATTTTGGAAGCTTCTTACACCTTCTCAGTAAAAGTCAAGAGAGGGTGTGTCTGTTTTAACTGTTTCCTCCTGCCTAGGTGCTAGTTCTTACCCCAACCAGAGAGCTGGCAAACCAGGTAGCCAACGACTTTAAGGACATCACAAGGAAACTCACTGTTGCTTGCTTTTATGGAGGAACTTCGTATAATGGGCAAAGTAAGTGAGACTTGTGACTGAGTAAAATGCAGATTGACTAATGTGGTTGAGAAATACAGTTGTCTGTCTTCAAATAGATTATTTTAATCAGTCTTTCCAACTTCTGAGGGAGACTCTCTGGGCATTTGTACACAAGCTTGTGCTGCAGTGCCAGGTGCTTTTTTTAAAGTGTGCAGTGCTGCATTGCATGCAGGTGTGTAAGTGGCAAAATGTGTATCAGCATGCAGAAAATGGCAGTGGCACGCTTTTGAATTAAAACACATTGCAGATGCTTTTAGCTCAAGCATGCTGCTGCCATTTTCTGCATGCTGATGTGCATTTTGCCACTTTGCACTACATTGCATGCAATTGTATGTGCACATCAGCTCATGTACAGAGCAGACTCGATTAATCAAGTCTGCTCCCTGGCATGTCAGAGCATGAACCTGTATGTGTAAAAATGCCCCCTGTGTCTTAATTTGGATCTTTTTATGATAGAAAAACAAGAGGGTCTTTAGTAAAATGCATGGCTTCCTGCCTTTCTCACAGGTTTGGAGCTTCAGTCACAAAATTAGGGTGCTAAAGAGAAGATGTTGGAATGAATAATATATGGCTATATGGAAACACAGTGCTGGGTCTGATATTTTGTAAATAACACATTTGAAATTTTTGTAAAGTAAATCTATAAGTAGAAAACACTACATCTTTATGCTATCAATGGATTTTTTGCTACTGTTTTTAGTTGTAGACAAACATTTTTTGTTAAAAAAACAAAAAGCAGAGGAAAAGTTCTATTGATAGATCACTCAGTTGATATCTTGATGATCATAAATAAGGATAATTAATGTGATCACTGATAAGGCCCTTCACTGTCAGTGGACTGTATATCATAGCTGGGATTCATAGTCGCAGAGAGTAGGGATCAGTGGTGTACCTCAGTCAAAAGTACTCGGCTTTAGCTGTGTTCAGTGTCTCAGAGAAAGGTGACACCAGGTCCCCTCTCCTTCCCTCTGCCCAAGACAGTAGCATTAAATGAGGAGGGATTCCTTCCAGGTTCTATCTCAGGGGCGGGCAGTTATTTCAGTTGGAGGGCTGCTTGCTGAGTTTCAGCAAGCTGTTGAGGGCTGCATGGGTAGCCCTGTCCCTGGTCACCATCTTGTGACCAGAAATCCTGCCCCCCTGACCTTTGCCATGAGGAGTCCCTCCCCTTGCCCCTGGAAATACTCCTTTCAGCAAGAGGTTTTGCCATCTCGGAACCAGAAAAATACCTAATTATATTCTAAAAAGGAAACGTTTACAACATTCATTAATTTGGTTTCAAAAAATATTTTTGTCTTTATTTACATGTGTTTGTGTAGTGTACATAGAGATGATTGCACAATAGCTTAAAATGTAGTCTTACTCTTGTATATTGTGGGGGGTGGGTATAGGTTTGTTGGGGGGGCTGTGGGTGTGGGGTGAGAGCATGTGGGTGTGAGTGTGGATATGTGGAGTGTGGGTGCATATGGGGTTTGTGGGGGATGGGTGCCTGGGGTGTGTGAGGGGATGTGGGGGGGTCTGCATGTATGTCAATGCGAGAGGGGGTGTGGGTGCATGTGTATAGTGGGATGTGCATGTGGGACTCGGCCTATGAACACAAGCACGCGCTCTCCCTGCCTACGCATGCATGCACGGCCCCCTGCTCCCAGTTCAGCAATGCAGCTGCAGCTGGCAGCCACCTGGTGCTGGAGCAGGGCAGGGGCAGGAAGGGAATGAAATACCTGGGGTGGGGGCAAGGCTGGGCTGTTCAGTCCTGCTGGGGTTCCCTCTGGGTCCTACTGCCCCTGTCTCTTGTCAGGTTTGACAGCTTGCTGGGGCAGATAAATATTCATTTTATGAATATGGATCTGGCTAACTATAGGCCCGTCAGCCTGACTTCTATCCCGGGGAAGATCTTAGAAAAGTTTATTAAAGAGGCCATCCTTAATGGACTGGCCGACGCCAACATCTTAAGGGATAGCCAGCACGGGTTTGTCGTGGGTAGGTCTTGCTTGGCCAATCTCATTTCCTTCTACAAAAACTTCTTTACAAGCCAAATGCCAAGTGTTTGGATCAGGCTCCTCCCAGAGGTGGTACAGTCACTCACCCAGGTGATCTTCAAAAAAGTCTTGATGCCCATCTTGCTGGGATCATTTGGTCCCAGCAGTCTTTCCTGCCCACATGCAGGGGGGCTGGACCCAATGATCTGTAAGGTCCAGTCCAGCCCCTAACAACTATGAAACTATAAAGTTTCACATAACACTGCCGAGCCTATAAGGATGCTGCGGATTTTTCTGCAGTTGTGCCCTGCTAATCCATTGTATGCTGCTAGACCTTTGTCACAGTTCTGGGCTGCCAAGTCTTGCAATTTTTATGTTGGCCAACACTATGCAAGAAAGAGACTTGGGGGTCATCATTGACCACAAGATGAACATGAGCCTGCAATGCAATACTGCAGCTAGTAAAGCGACCAAAACGCTGGCTTGTATCCATAGATGCTTCTCAAGCAAATCCCGGGACGTCATTCTTCCCTTGTACTCGGCCTTGGTGAAGCCGCAGCTGTAGTACTGCATCCAGTTTTGGGCTCCACAATTCAAAAAGGATGTGGAGAAGCTTGGGAGAGTCCGGAGAAGAGCCACGCGCATGATCAGAGGTCAGGGAAGCAGACCCTACGATGACAGGTTGAGAGCCATGGGGCTCTTTAGCCTGGAAAAGCGCAGGCTCAGGGGCAATCTGATGGCCACCTATAAGTTTATCAGGGGTGACCACCAGTATCTGGGGGAACATTTGTTCACCAGAGTGCCCCAAGGGATGACGACTAGGTCGAACGGTCATAAACTACTACAAGACCGTTTCAGGCTGGACATAAGGAAGAATTTCTTTACTGTCCGAGCCCCCAAGGTCTGGAACAGCCTGCCACCGGAGGTGGTTCAAGTGCCTACATTGAACACCTTCAAGAGCAAACTGGATGCTTATCTTGCTGGGATCCTATGACCCCAGCTGACTTCCTTCCCTTTGGGCAGGGGGCTGGACTCGATGATCTTCTGAGGTCCCTTCCAGCCCTGATGTCTATGAAATCTATGAATTTTCTAAAAATTTTAGGGGCCCCGCCGGCTGGATAGAATGGCCTGGTGTGCTGGATGTGGCCCACGGGCCATACTTTGTCTGCTACCGCCGCTCTATCTGGTTACCAGAAGAGCCCTGAAGCATGGGGTCACTGGCTGTCATACTTTAAAGGCAACCAGAGTTTAGTTTGGGAATGGAGGAAAAAATCTTCTGCAATAAGATCATTGAAGCTGCTGCCTACCCTTTTGTCATCTTTTTTTTTCATTCTCTTCTTCTTCTTCTGATATTTTTGTTTATTTCCCAAATAAAGTAAAAAGAAAACAAACTTTTATGACACACAATTTCATGAGCTTTTCCTTTATTTTTCAGGTGTCCGTATTAGTCTGTCGTACAGATTGTGTATTAGTGTAGTAGTACCAGTGTAATAAAATAAAGTTGTCATGTTCTTCACTCTAACTGAAATTGCTGGTATCTAAATGTCCTGTCCTTTCCTATCTTGCTGTTTTCAGTTGACTTAATTAGAAGCGGCATTGACATCTTGGTAGGGACCCCAGGTCGAATCAAAGACCACCTTCAGAATGGCAAGCTGGAACTTTGCAAACTTAAGCATGTTGTTTTGGATGAAGTTGACCAAATGTTGGACATGGGATTTGCTGAACAAGTGGAGGACATTTTACGAGTTGCGTACAAAAAGGGTAATTTCAGACTTTGAAGCAAGTAGTTGGGAATATAGTAATAATAATTAGTCCACTAAAATCAGACAGTTGAATTAGAATTTCTAAAACCTGTAAACTGAGGTGGGTGTGGGATGAAGAAGAGTGCTAGGAAAAACCTACCATAGATATCTGTCTGGGTAATTTGATATCAAACTAGAAGTCATTCACAGATTCTTCAGAATAGAGAAGATGCCAACCTGCTTGAAATCCATCTGCTAGTGGAAAGTAAGCAACTTTCCCTGGCACCCTTTCCTAAGCTGAAATAATGAATGGTTGGAACTCCCAGGCAAGAACATTGGAGGCTTCTTCCTCTTTAATAGTGAAGATAAATCTTTCCTCTGAAGGGTTGGGCATTTTGTATTTTATTTTTTACTTTCTTGTATTGGGATTAGCACAAACATGCTTTGTTTATGAACATTGAAATAGCTTTTTATTAATGGTGTCTCTTGAGTGGATTTTGCTAACGTTTTTTGAGTTTTGGGGGTTTTTTTGCTGTTTAAAAGAAGAGATACTAATAATAGTTTAGCTTTTAAAATCATGTATTTCAGGGTTGGTATAGTGACCTAGTTCAGACATATTATAAATAAATGGAGTTGTATTTCTTATTGAACAAAGGGGTTGTAACTTTGAGATGAGGATAAAGGCAAAAATGCTCCGTGTTCCTCAAGTAATAGACCCTTGTCTTTGGTAACATGGGTATTGTTCACTCCAAACGGAGGTGTGTTCAATTCTGCTCATTTGAAGGTTGGCTCAAATGTGACCATTTGAGAAGATTGGGAAGAGGAAAGCAGTAGAGAAAACATAATACTATTATGAGGATATTTTCCCATAGTTTTCCATCCATAGACTTCCAAAGTCTGAATGATTTCTGTAGTCTTTCATATTTTAAGTAACTGAGTTTAGGCCTTAATATTTTCCCCTTGAGCTAATGTGATCCCCTAGGATTTAGATACTAAGATTTTTAAATGGGTTGTTGTATGTTTAAGATTCAGAAGATAACCCTCAGACGCTCCTGTTTTCTGCCACTTGCCCAAATTGGGTGTATGATGTGGCTAAGAAATACATGAAATCCCGATATGAACAGATTGACCTAATTGGGAAGAGGACTCAAAAAGCAGCTACAACTGTAGAAGTAAGTAATGTTGTTAATACAGCATGTTTTCTGTAATAGGTGTATTTTATTTGCTTTTTAAGGACTGAATTTGAAAATTCACACATTTTAGAGTTGATCTGTGAATTCTGCTCATCTGCTTCATAAAAATTTTCATGCAACTCTAGATCATGCATGATCTTGTTTCAGGGAAGATCTGTGAATTCCCTACCTGGGGAAACTTGTTTGCAGTACACTTATTTTGCCCATGCTTATTTTAATTTGATTTTAGTTTTATCCTTTTGGACAGAAGTGATCCACACGTTATTGTTTTGCCATCCATGTTTTAGTAATATGATTTTTCCATTATTCAGAATTTCATGCTCAAGGAAAACCATCTTTATAACAGTGTTCTATTTTTAAATTCTACCCTTTCAATTGTACACTTCTAAAGCTGTAATTTAAGTGTTTTTAATACAAGCTGAATACCAGATTGTGTCTCTGACAGCATTTGGCTATAGAATGCCACTGGACTCAAAAAGAAGCAGTTATTGGGGATGTCATTCAGGTCTACAGTGGGAGTCATGGACGGACCATAGTCTTTTGTGAGACCAAAAAGGAGGCAAATGAACTGGCTCTTAATGCCTCAATTAAACAGGTATGTTGTCTGCTATCTTACTAAGATAGTGTGTTGCCCCTTTCGACATAGGGGTAGTAACCAACCTATCCTCACTAAATCTGCAAGCATCTTTTGAGTTGTCATTGATTCAGAATTTTGGTATAAGTTACCCAAAAGGCACCCACAAGATCAGTCCACTGGGTAAACCATTGCATATGTGTAATGTTGGGCGTCCCTTCTTTGCTCCTATTTGGATTGGACAAAGACTGATAGTGGTGGTGGTGTTAAGGATATAGTTTTTCCTTGGATAAAACATAGACATGAGGTGAAACTTTTACAAGTTAAATCTGTCTTTTTCTCTGTCAGTTCTGGGATACCAGTGATGATTACATATTTGCAGACTAGCAATTACTAGGAGATAGCATGATGGCAATTTCTGCCCTATGATAGTTTAAGTCAGTGACTGAGGTATACATTTTAAAAATTGACGAGAGATGTGTCTGCTTTATTAGTACCGTTGTCTCCTCTCTCAAGGAGTTCAAATAATCCCCCCCAGTTGCAAATTCCACATACAATGTAGCTTTTGGTTCTTATTTCTGAGACTTATGAAGCCTGAGGCTAACTGAAGGCACTTGATACTAAGTTTGGGGTGTGGGAAGACGGTACACTAGCAAGTCACCATGATATCTGTGCCAAATACTAGCTAGTATTACAGTAGTAGATCCCTTGATCTTAGTCCAGATCATTGTGTGACTGTCAATGTTCTTACTTGATCAGATAGATTATTTTGAGACTAGAAAACAGTATATTCTTGTGCTTTTAGGGGAAAGGAAGAAACTTTTACCCACCACATTTCTGTTCAGAAGGGTGTTTCTTCTGCACTATTGGATGACCTCACTAATAGCTAAATCCTCAGCATGGAGCCTTATTCTGTGTTCCTGTTGATGTTATCTGTGATATAATCTGTTGCAGAGAAATGCAAAACTCTGGTCTTGGCAAGTAAGAAAAGGGGACACAAATATGTAGTCATTAATATCTTGATAGCTAAGCTTGTTGATGAACTATACATCCATTCCCTTTATAGATCATCCTTTTAAAAGAGGGGTATCAAACTCCCCTTGTGTTCCTGGCTGCACTCAGACTCAGATGGGGTCATGAGGAAGCTGCCATAGCAGCTTCAGCTCCTGATCTCACTGTGTGCTCTGTACTACAGCTGGAGCAGCTGCCACTGTGTCCCATGCCATAGCAGCTCCAGTTCCACCTCCAGCATCAGGCACAGCACAGGGGCTAGTGGCCAGGGTGG